TGTGATCTAAATATCTTTAATCATACTTAAAAGGTGTGATCTAAATGTTATTAAGCACACTTAAAAAGTGTGATTAAAAATGATCCATTTTAATCACACTCCCAAATATCACACTTTAATAAAACTTAAAAGGTGTGATTAAATAACATACATCACACAAAAAAAGTGTGATCTTTATCTATTTTTGTAGTAGTGACCTCTTATAATGATATATTTTCTCAAAATAACCTTAACATAGCTTTAATGTAAAAATATGAAGAAAATACATATCTCAAATAATGAAGAAAGAAGATCTAGAAGGCAAATCTTGCCCAATCATGAATCCGAGACTAACATTGCGAAGATCACGACGAGTTCTCCGACTTTCATTTACAACACTTTAACAAAATTTCACTCTAAGAACTCCTATTTGAAACTCAAATGCTAAGCCAATAATGGATGCCAATAGAGAAAGAAAGAGAGACGGAGCTCTCTGCTCAAAAAAAAAAACAAAACAAAACAAAGGAAAAGAAAGTGGAAAAGAAAGGAAGAGAAAGGAAAAGTTTGATGGGGAAAAGGGAAGGGAAGGGAAGGGGGACAATCCCACATGGCTCCTCACACATCTAGTACCAAAAATTAATATATAATACATTATAAAATATTTGAAACTTTTATAATATAAATTATAAAATGATATAATTTTTCTCGCCACAAAATATAATATTTTTATACATCACAAAATATAATATTTTGTTTACTACCAAAAATGTACCCAATTTCGTTCTTTATAAAATATATAATTTTTCACCATATGGTACATATCATAAAAATCAACTATCAAATATTTATTATAACCCCTATATAATAAATAATAACAACTCTCAAGGTGGTTACTACCAATCACATAATTAAAAAGAACAAAACAGTTAAACATGAGTCACTAAACAAACTCAAATTAAATCAAATCAAAATCATGGGTCTCACCCATAAGTTAAACATTACCCAACTATACATCAAAGTAGACCAAACAAACTAATCTCAAGTCATGGCCCAAACACGTAAAACTTAATATCAAATTCTGTTGTACACTAGACCGAACACCGATCAGTCCGCAAATTTTCATAAAATAAATACTCATCAATAAATTCTGAAATATTTACCCAATGTGCTAGACTCGTATGCGAATAACATATAAACATTTCATAATTTTCTGAGATCATGAACTATTTTAAAAAAATACAAAACCGAACTGTTTTCGCATAGAATTTACATAACAGTCAAATCCGAAAATTTGCTCAATTAAATTATGCACCGTCTATTTTTTTTTTTAAATTCTAGGTCATTACCATTTTTGTTGATCGCTCATTAACTGTTTTAGCTAAAATTAACATATGATTGGATGCTCTTAATACCAATCTAGTTGGGATTAAAAAGTTGAAAAAATTACTCATAAATCCTATTTGGAGAAATGTTAGTCCATTTAGTCCTACATTTTTTTTTTTTTTTATAAACCAATTAGTTCTTTTTATTTATAGTATGTATTATTGATTTAATTTAGTAATATTAGAGTTTACTTGTTTGCCCTTATTTCAGATTTGATTTTGATGGTTTTTTGGGATTTGGGTGTATGTGGGTAAGGTATGGTTTAACATTTCCATTTGTTTAGAGATTTCGTAAAGTGATTGTAAGGATTGTTGATGTTACCTACTTAGTGTTAGCCTGAAATGATTACATAAATTTTAATTGATCAAAAATAGTGGGCTTCATATCCACAAGGCATATTAACCTACTAAAAGTGTAATACTTCAATATAACATTCAAAAGTAACACTCCAATGTAACACTCAAAAAAAAATCTTAGTGCAATACCCTAATGTAACACATAAAAAAATTCATTACTGTAATTTTCTCAAGCGTAACACTCTAATATAATATTCCAAAAGAACTCATTAGCGTAACACTCTAATGTAACACATAAAAAAACTCCTTAGTGTATTTTTCTTGAACATAACACTGTAATATAGCACTCTAGAAATATTCCTTAGTAAGTTTTAGGCAAATGTATAATTTCAAACTGTGAGTGTTACATTTGGAAAAAATACACTAAAAAGTTTTTTTTAGTGTTTTTGACACAGCGGAATACACGGGGACTAGATATCGTTCTAGTAGATGAAAGGGACTCTCGAATCCACGAGAAAAATAGAACCTTGAATCTACAAGGAAGAGAAAATATTTTAATATTATTAATTGAATGAATAAAAGTTGTATCAAAGTTGTCTTTGCCATGAGGCTTACATAGCTATTTATAATAAACTAAACCTAATACTTGTAGGAAAAGTAATTCTAAAATAAACTATGAAACTTAAATCAACACAAATTAGGAAACCTTAGAGAATAGGAAACTAGAATTCTAAACTATTTAAAATCCTAGTCAAAATCTAATTCTAAAATAATAAAATTAAGAAACCTAATAATTCTAGATTATTTATACTAAATTACAAGAATCCTAATAAAATAATATATCAAAAATATTAAAACTATAAATATAAAAATTCTTATAATCTTGTCCTACATCAGTTTTTGTGTTTTATATTAGAGTATATTACATTAAAGTGTTACATTTGAGAAAAGTACACTAAAGATTTTTTTTTTTTTTTTTTACATTAGAGCGTTACGTTTCGGAAAAGTACACCAAATATTTTTTTTTTTTGAGTGTTACATTATTACATTTGGGAAAAGTACACCAACAGATTTTTTAGTGTGTTACATTAAAGTGTTATGTTATTGGAATGTTACATTAAAGTGTTAGGTTTTTGTTTGTAAAGTGTGATTTGTTCTAGAATAAGGGAAAATCTAAAACTTCTATAGTGCAAATTGCCTAAATGTGTAATTTTACATTTTGAGAAACCCACTTTTATTTCTAAAAAATTAAACCCAAACATGTAAGTAATCACTCTTTTATGTAATTTTCACTTTAATAAAACTTTTAAATTCATAAAAAAAAAAAAAGACTAAATAATTCACTGTACGGGGAGCAAATATTCCGGCGTGCCCGTATTCCTTCCTTCCAAGCTCCGTCGATGTCCGATCACCTGCGAGCCAATAGGGGTGAGCTACCCGGCGGTGTGTGGCCGGAAATAACCCTCCGACGATCAAATTAGCACACACCTTAGAGGGAATAGAGAGAAGAGAGAGAGTGTTTGAGTGTGATAGTTCCTTACAGAAATGTTCGTGTGTTGCGTATGAGGGGCGCAGACATGCTTATATACCTTCTGAGCCCCATATCCACTCCCTGTCATCTCCTGACACGTGGCTCTGCTATCCCATCTGTCAGTATAAACCATGCCATTCATCACCTGCTCTCAACTGCCTGTCAGCACAGCTGGAGCTCGGCAGCCGAGCTGCCCTACCTCGGTCATACCATGCTTCATACCTCAAGCGCCTAACCGGATAAACACACGGAGGACCGGGCTAAGCGGCATCCCGGCCGAGCCTAGCCCGGATACTTACTTTGATCGGCCTTCCTGCCGACCATACAGTCTCCTCGGCTGACCACGCCTTTCCGGGCACCGGCCACTCAACTTCCTCGGTTATCCATGCCTTCCTGGGCGCCGGTCACTCGGTCAATCCGGCTTTGGCCATTCTCGGACCGGGCACCCTGGTCCGACCGAGCACTGCCTTACCGAGCAGTTTCTGTCCGGTCCGGGGTGACACTCAGCCCGTACTCTGCCCGGCCCAAATTCTGGCAGCCCACTTTGGGCAAAAAGTCGATCGTCTCGGACCTATGCACCGTTGGGCCCTCAACTTGCTCGGCCGTTACCTCGGCCCAACTCCAGATCACAATTCACCCTCTCATTCACAAAATCATATTTTATAACTTATTAGTGCTTTAGGATATTTTCTTTCTAGCCTTTCTCAATAGAAGTAATCTCTATGTATTATTTTTTTTTATTCCATCAATAAAATTTACTTCTTTTTGTTGATAAAAAATAAAAAATGAACCCCGCCCATCTGTGAAATATCTATATTCACTTTTTAATTCCAACTCAGCACGTGGGTCTCACTATTGGAAAAAGGAGCTACCCATGCGATGGAATTTCTATTGTTTTTGTGGGAAATTGTGTATAATCAAAAAATTCACCAACACCAAAATAACAGGTAATTCGTGTATTTTAAGTGGTTTATTTGCAATTTATTTTTTATTTTTTAATTTTTTTAAAAAAATATTTGTTAAAATAAATTCAAAAAATCATTATTTTTTATGGTTAAAAACATATATATTTTAACCTAATTTCTAAATGTTTTTGAAAAAAAAAAAAACCATTTTTATGAAGCTAATTTTTGTGTTATTGTGGAAGTAAGAAAGGAAATTATGTATATTATTACTCCAAAACTTTGTATTTTCTAAATAATTTATATGATGGGTTGTGCATTATCATAATTTTCTTTCATCAAACTTATTAAGTTCTTGCACATAAAAAATTTATTAATCGACATCTATTTTTAGAATCAAAACTGAACTGCACATTAAAAAAATTAAATTGGTTAGAACTGAATTGATTTACGATTTTTTCAATTTTTTTTCTTCTCAATCCTACGCATGGGTAGCACTTGGCATGAAAAAATCCAAAAGGAATTTTTGTAATTTGAAGGATTAATTAGATATATCAAATTGTGAACAAGAAACAAGAGATTCAAATCATCCATACATATAACTGTGTGTAATGTAAGGCCATGTTTGATTCCACAAGATTAATAGTGAGATATTAATAATCTAATCAAATTAGTGTAGTATTCACAATTCCACCCCTACCCCATTACTAATAATCCTACAAATTTGTTGGATTAATTATTCATTGGATTGCTAATCCTAAAACAAAATGTCAAAACAAACATAGAATAATTGGGCCCGCGGATTAATAATCTCAATCCCATACTCTAATCCTTTCAATCAAACATGCCATAAGAGAATATATATTATCCAATGATTTTATTCTCCCAATTGAAAGAAAAATAAAGATAAAAGATAAATTACTGTTTTACATTATTACATTGCATACCTATAATTTATTTAATAAGAAGAATTACAAAGAGCAAATATTGCCAATTTAATCCATTTCAGTTGATTTTTGGAGGAGTAATGCTTCAGACTTGTCGAACCGTTCTGAGGTCTCGCGGAATAACACTGCCAGTTGTTTGATTAAATTTCTCTCTATTGCGATAATATCTTCAAAATAATTGCCACCACGCCAAAAGCCACCATTAAAATGATGTTTATCAAAACGATTGTCATCGCCGGGTTGAACTATTTGGGGGAGAGAGAACCAAACCAAAGTGAGAAGGTCACCGCCTTGTCTGAGGAGTTGAAGATGGTTATCTTTCTGAACCTTCATTGCTGCATAACATATCATAGTCAACCACATTGTACTAAGTATTTCCCATCTCTCTTCCATTTTCTTTTCCTTCAACTCTAATGCAAATTCGCGTGCCTCCCTTGTGGTCGAATCAAAAGTTAATGGTAAGTCTTCTAATGCTCGGCAAGCTTCGCTTACATTATGCACATTCTTACTCTTGAGAAACTCTTGGAGATCATTGATCAACTGGATCCTGTGACTGTCTGAGCTGTGACCGGGGTAGCCAAATTCTCTCCGTACACTAACGCCCAACATCGAAGGGCAAATGAGGAGTAGATACATCATGTAATGTGACAGAGTTCTGCATGTTTCCTTAATACTAGCTTGCCCGTCATCTCCGTCTGCAGAGGTGGAGTTAGTACAACTGCTTTGACAAGTATTCGAGTCCCAATGGTAGCACATTTCTGTTGCGATGTGCCAAACAAAAATTTTAGAGTGAAAATGTACCTCAGCCGAATATGTCATGTCCCCTTCTTCATCATTCAGTTTTTTAAGTTTGGTAGCAGAACTAGTATTATGGTGACGCATAATAGTATTTTTATCAGCCAAGTACTTTATGTGTCTCAGAATCATGCTAGGTAGTTTAGAATCAGATTGGACATTCACACAAGTCTTGTGCATGTACCAGTTGACATTGTCCAGAATACCAGCCAACCACTCAAGTCTACTCCTACTCCAAGTCGTCAATGTCATTAAAGGCTTGAACTGTTTTTTGAGGCAAAAACCAAGTAGATCAAATTGCCCCATCTTTTTAGACCACCTTTTCTTTTCAAGCATTCGGAATAACCAAGGAAACCTTTTTCCCAATCGGGCCACCAGTTGGAGATGTTTGTTTTTAATTAGCCAAAGAATTGTCCATTCAGAGAACAATAATAGAGCAACTGCATAAATCTCCAAAGTTAGAGCTCCTACCACTAGCACGCCTGTGATGGCAATATCAACCGTGGAGTAGTAGTGTTGTTGATTCCTAAAAGTGAGCCAGAAGTATCCTACCAACACACACACTGTACAAGCGAAACTGATCGAGCGGAAAATGCATCCTACCTTGGTATAAGTTACCACTGCCTTTGTGTACCACAAATCATACATCAACCCCATTTCAGCCTCCAATGCTTTCCAAAGAAATATTTCATCACCCACACAATGGTGTATCATAAACGTTGTCTTATCAGGTTCATATTGCTCCATATATTCCTTAAAATCCTTAACCGATTTTAGGCCCAGCAGTAAAGCACTTACATATTGTTTCTCTCTAGCATAATAATTATCTAAATGTGGATCATGAATTGATCCAATCGAGATATGGTCATAAATCGGTAGAATGCTTCCCGATTTATCATTACTTACTGACTTGAGAACCCATGTTCTCTCTCCATACTTAATAATTCCAGCCACGAACGCCGGAATTGACAGAAAAGAAAGCAAGGAATTTCTCCAAGACAAAATAATGACATAAACTGCCACAACAGTTTGAACACCTAATCCTATGAAGTGCCTCAACCACAAATTATTATCCTCTACAGAAAAAGCTGTTATAGTATCTGGGCACCGAGGTGCAGCAAAAGCAAGGGTGCCCATATCGCCCCCAATTCGCCATTAGGCTTAGCATTGCCCTTGTCAGAGAGCTTGCTAAGGGCCAGAGTTGCCACAAAATCGGCCATCAAGTAGGCTATCCAAACAATGACACCGGTCCATAATGATGGCGTGTACTTTCTACGTTGTCCAAAGATGAAAAGAATAAATTGTAAAGTGAAACTAAGTAGAGCCAACCCCCGAACATCCCACTGTTGCCATAGCCTTGTCAACCATTCTGGAAGTCGATTCATCACGCCCTCCCTTTCTTTATCAACATATAGGCAGAAATCATAATTCTTTTCAAAAGAAAATAATAATAATAATAATAACAATAATAATAATAATAATTTGGAGGAAAGAAAAAAACAAAGCATGATACAAATTTATTGTGTTACAAGACAATTTGTTGTTCATAATAGGGGTGAGCATGATTTGGTTTGGTTCAATTTTGAAATAACCAAGATCAAATTTGTGCTTTCATAAAATTTGGAACTAAAAATATGGTCCAGTTCAATTTGGAACCACAATTTTCATAAATTTTATCATAATTCAGAACATAATCATAACTTACTCAAAAATAAGTAACTTATCATTATTTTGCAAACAAAGATTGTTGAGAACTAATTTGACTATCATACAACAGCACACTTGTAAGTAAAGAGTTAACCATTTATTTATATATATATTTATAGTGTCTACTGTAAATAATAAATATCTAAACGGTTCGGTTCAGTTCAGTTCCAACACAGAATCATAACTACGAAGCCATGGGCCGAACGGCGAAATACAGTTCACATATATTAAGAACCAAAACTGAGAAAACTAAACCAAATTGTGTGAGTTGATTTGAATCAGACCAATTTCTAATTTCTTTCAAATTTTTTTGCTCCCTAGTTCAAAAAGCTAAAGTTGAAAGAATAGATCAAAACAATGTACAGTGAACTCCCAAACATTAAACGTAATTTATAGTAGTGATTCGTATACGCTGTGAATGTACAATTTAAATAAGTAAAAATAAAATAAAACAAAATAAATTATTTATTATATATTATGTGTAACTTAACAGGTAATAATTTTTGTTAGTGTTTCTAAATTCTAACGTTTGAATCCCACTCTTCTTATTTATTTAATTTTTTTGTTTTAAATAGAAAAATAGGAGACATGTGGCATAACAAAAATCAAGTAAAGACTTAGGCCAAGTTTGGCATGTCACAAAAAACTCAAAAAGTTAAAAAGTTATCACTACTCACCAAAAAAAATATTAAAAAATTAATTTTTATCACTATTCACCAACACATCAATCTGACGAAATTAGATCGGTGCTATGGTTCTGTGACAAAAAGTTGCACAATTGGGTGTAATTTTACCACACTGCTGTTCGGCCCGTAGGGACCCATCACGGGTTCCGTTTTTATAATCTAAACCGTTGAATGTGTAGAAATCGTCGAGTACTATATGTCTAAAAAATCACATTAATCGGATATCGATAATTACATGATCAAATCAGTTTTGTATAAAAAAATAAAGATGTTATAATTAACTGTTAGAAAAAAACAAATCTGATCAGATAGCTATCAATATCCGATTAACGTAATTTTTTACAGACATATAGTACTCGACGAATTCTACACATTGAACAGTTCAGATTATCAAAATAGCACCGTCCAGTGCAATGCCCAAAAAGTAGACAATTACTTCACCCCATCTATTCTACTACTTACAGATTTGTCAGCCGTACAAGTCACCCTCTAATCTTCTCCTACACTCTAACTACACACTAATTTATATAATATTTTAATACACATTTTTCTATAAAAAGTCAAAAAGTTAATTCAAACATTCAAATTTTTTTCCTCAATTTTTTAGTCCAAAAAATACACTTATTTAGGGCATCTCAAACAACCCCTTAGATACCAAGTTCAACCTTCACTTTATATAATAATAATTGTTGAATAATTTAAGTCTCAATTTTTCTTTACCTTCACTGCTTATAGTAAGGTGGTGTTTGGGAAGGACTTTTGGGGCTAAATTAGCAATGTAAGGACAAAAAAGTTGATTTTAGCCACATGGGGACAAAAACGAAGGCAATCACTTGGCACCAACCATTGTGAAGGTAAATTTACAAAATTACCCCCACATGAGAGAGGGGCATCACCTCAGCGTTTCCCAGACAAAAGCTTCACATCACTTCCCAAAAAACACCTATTCCCAGAAAAATACACAGGACGTTGAAAAAAAAAAAAAATTAAAAACATTTTTTTGGTTTTTGTTAAAATATTTTATAAAAATAAATTCAAACTCTATTTATAAAAATATTTTTAAATATTTTTAAATATTTTAAATTTTTTTATTATGTATTTGATTATTTTTTGAGTGTAGAGTTGTGAAAGTAGTATGGAGTTTCGAGTTATGTGTTTGGTTATGAGTTTTAAAAATAATTTATTAATTGAGTTTTATTTTATGTGTTTGGTTACGATTTGAGTGTAGAGTTGCTTTTAAATTTAAAATATTAATATTTGAAATTATTTAAAATTTTTGAATATTTAAATTATTTAAATTTTTACGATTTAAATTTTTTGAATATTTATTTTAATTTTTTACTTTTTAAATTTTTTAGATTATTTAAATTATTTAAATATTTATGATTTTAATTTTTTGAGTATTTATTTTGTTAAAATAATTTTTTGAATATTTAAATTATTTAAATTTTTACGATTTAAATTTTTTGAATATTTATTTTAATTTTTTGCTTATTAAATTTTTTAGATTATTTACATTATTTAAATATTTAAAATAAAATTACAAATAAAATAAAAATTAAAATTAAATTTAAAATTAAATTATTTAAATTACACAGGACAATAAAATAAAACCTCACTTTTTATCATTTCACAGAAAATGAAAAAAAAATTAAAATAACAATAAAATAAAAAACACATGAAAAAACCATTTGCAAAAGAAAAAAAAAACTTAAAATACATAAATTATTTAAAAAAAATACGCCTCATTCAAAAATATTTTAAAATATTTAAAAAATTATAAAAACGTAAATTCAAAAAAAAAGAACGACAAAAATAAGCCTCATCCAAAAAGAAAAAAAAAATAGAAATTACCATTTGCCATGTAATTTATAAATAAATAAAACACATGAAAACCTATTTTTGAAATAAAACACATCAAAAATATATTAAAAAAAAACATAAAAAAATAAATTACCATTCGCCACGTAATTTACAAATAAATGAAACACATAAATAAAAAAAATGTTATTGTATACCAATAAAAATAAATAAGGCAAAAAACGTAAATTAAAAAACAAGAACTAATTAATGTATAAAAAAATAAAAATGACTAAAACATAAATTTAAAAAAAAATAAAAAAATAAAGCAAAATACGGCAAATCCAAACCCAAAATAAAAAAATAAATATTTTACCAAAATACGCCAAAATAAAACCCAAAATAAAAAAAATTAAGCAAAATATGCCAAATCCAAACCCCAAAAAAAAAAAAAAAAAAAAAAAAAAAAAAAAACAACAACAACAACAACAACAAGGGCACTTTGGTAAATGAACAGAAAGACACCTCACCAAAAAGTTAAAAAAGTCAAAAAATTCTTCCCAAATTAAACTTTTTAACCCCCGACTAAAATAATTAAAAAAATCAAAAAATTAAAAAGTCAACTCACCAAACAGAGGCTAAATATTGGTAATACGACGATAACAGAGAATAAATATTAAAGTCAATACAGCAGCAGTACATATAGTTGCTCCGTCTAAATAATCATGTATAACAATTGATAAAACAGGATAGCTATAAATGCACCCTAGAAGTTAGATTAGACATTCTAATAATTAATTTTTTTTTGTGCAAAATTCACTTTATTTTCTATAATTTGGGTCATTTGTGCTTTACCTCTTATCATTTAGAAATTACCACTTATTCATTTGTGATTTTGAACTAAAGCGCAACGTTGACATTGCTAACGAAAAATTAAAATGATCATAATACCCTTCTATTTTTTCTCCTTTTCCTTTTTATTTTTTCATTCTATCTCTTCTATTATAAAATTAATTTAATTTAATCACATATTTTTTTTAACTTCTTAACTCTATTTCTAATTTAGGAGTTGTTTGAGGTGCCCTAAGTAAGTGTACTTTTTATCTTTTTGGACTAAAAAATTGAGAAAAAAAATATGGATGTTTGGGTTAACTTTTTGACTTTTTATGAAAAAATGTGTATTAAAAAATTGTATAAAGTAGTGTGTTGGAAAAAAATTAAGATTGAGAGTTGTGCAGCCGTAATTTTTGACTTTTGGTAAATAGTAATAACTTTTTAACTTTTTGAGTAACTTTTTGACAACTTGACCTTAATCTTATATTACGTTATAAATAAATATATATATATATATATATGTGTGTGTATAGTACATACACACAAGGCCACACAGAGCGTCCTCCATTAATTCTATGCCAACTCATACGTCCTCCATTAACCTGATTTCAATTTCAAAGAAAAGCAATTTCAAACAGAAATGCCACACAATCTGAAGTCTGGACAACAACAGATCATGTACACTGGTGTATTCAAGTTGCGGGGGGGAGTGACTGGTGTAGCGGGTGGTGATAAAGAGGTCATAAAAATCGATTTGATAGTGGAGAAGAAGATGATAGTGGTTTTCGGAGGGATAACAACAGATCATGTACAGTTAGGGGTAGATTTTAAGGAAGAAGATGATAGTGTAGAAGATGAAATTTTAGACATATGGGTCTTTTTACATCATATTTAAACTTTTAAATTATTATTTTTCAATACCTACTCTATTTTTCCGTGAATATATGACAAATTTTGTCAATTTAGACGGAATAAGTAACGGCAATGAGGTAAAATGCAAAACAACTAAAACCGTAAGGAGAATAAGTGACCATTTTCAAATGATATGGGGTAAAATGTAAATGGACTAAACCATATGGGGTAAAGTAGATTATGCTCTTTTCTTTTTTTTTTAATATCATTTTGCCCATTAAGCAAATTACCAAAATAACCAACCTCTAACCCTAACTCCAGGCACCCCTTTCAACTATTCGGCCACTGGTTCACAGAACCCTTCCCCTATCACCGGCCAACCACCTAGTTCCAGTCAGACACTCAACTTTGATGACCTCCTCCTATCTTCAGTCACTCCTTTACAACCTCTCTCGTCACGCCCTAGCTCTTCTTCGCCCTCGGATGCAATCCTTTAGCCTTTTCCTACTCTTTGACGCAA